AAGAGATGGATGGAGCCAGTTTTGGAGGGTCTCTAAAGCAGCAATTGTTTTCACCAAAACACCTCCACTGAGAGCTTCTCCACCCAAACTCTGGCTCCAAGAAAAGGAACCCCTTACCAGTCAAAATCCCAAGCACGTCTTCAAAGCACAAGGCTGGGACCAGCCCACAATATCCCATCCTAGCTCTGCCCCACATCAAGAAATGCCCCTAAAAGAGTTTACACTCATCTCCTGTTGGGCTTGGACCCAGCAGAACTACGGGGAGATCTCACCTCTTCAAGCTGGAGTCACCCAAGCACCCCCTACCCCAATCCTCACCGTTGCATCCACCACCAAACCTCATCCCTCCCCCCAAAAATGGAAAAAGGGCTAAAAAAAGGCAACTGTGCTTTGATTCTAGGTAAAAGATTCATGGGGGGACGCCTGGGGATCCATTCCACATCCTGCTCAGGCTATAGGACCACCACTGGAGACACCACGCAGGTGCATGTCCCTGAGTTAGAGGAAGAAGGTTCACAAAGGTGACACCAAAGCCACACTGCAAACTGCCAGACAAGCCAGTGGCAGCAAGAAGAGCCCAGGGATGTATTTTTGGGGAACATTTCTTTTTTGGTAGCTGCCACTTGGCACAGTGTGACCACCCACCCCCTCCACTGTCACGCTCTCCTCCCTCAGAGCCACAAGTACATTTTCACACCAGCTTTGGGGTCCAGCCACTGCAGTGTCCCCTCCCACTTACAATGTCCCCTCACCACTGTGCCACCCATAGCAGGGATCTTTACTTCGAGCACACTCAGGGCATAACCATGCTGTGTCCAGGGGGAAATTCAGGGGAAAAAATGCACCAGCAGCTTTCACCCCCTCTCCCACAGGGGGACACGACCGAATTCACCCTCCTGGCTGCCCGAAACCGCAGCACACGTGACCCAGAGAGGCTTTTCAGAAGAGCTGAGTCTCCAGCGGCTTCTGTTTGCCTTTCCCTTGTTTGCAGCAGCGTCGCATCTGGACGCTCGTCAGAAGAGGAGGAAAAAAAACACCCCCTCCCTCCTCCTGCTGAACAACCTCTCAATCAAAACAAAGCCGAAGCGGCAGCCAAGAGCTGGGAGGCTCTTTTGTTTAATGCTCAACATCCCCTGGCCGGCCCGGCGTGCCCAGGAGCGGGTGCAGGGGCCACGGCACGGGCAGCGAGGTGGGTGCAGAGCTGGCGACCGAGCGCCCACAGCCACCGGGCCCCGGGGCCAGCTCGGCCCTGCCACGGCAGCCGGTGGGGCAGGGACTGCACAGCGGGCGCTGCTCCTCCGTGCACGGCCATTTTGCTGAGCGTGGCTGCTCGCAGAGAGCTGCCGTTCCCTCCCAAACACCACTGTCCCCCCAGACCAAACCCCCATCGCCAATAACCCAGGGACTGATCCAGCCTCTGGTCCTCACACTCTGGTCATGGGTCCGTCAGCACAAGCTCTTTTCTCTCCCTGGTGCAAGAGTATTAAGCTTCCATTGCTGGCCCCCCAAATATCTTTTGGGGCTCCAAGAAGCTGCCCAGGCACCAACCACAGCCTGAGGCAAACTCGTGTGAGGTGCTCAGCCCTTTTCAGAGACCCTGGAAGGCCTCAGCAGGGTTATTGCCAGTGGGTTTCATCACAATCAGCCCCCATCCCTGGAGAAGTTACCACTTGTGCCCCAACAAACTGATGGCATCGGGTTTGAGGAGAGCATGTAACAGGCCTGGACAAGGCCAAGATCCACACCAAGAAAAGGGACATTTGGGATATTCAGTTCCTGGAGTTTCACTCTAGGAAGCAACAACCAGAGGAGCCATGGGGGTCACACTGGCAAAACAAATTCCATTAAACCCATGGGCCATGTCCACAGGCTTCATCGCTGCCATGTCAGAAATGGGAGTAAGGGTGACCTCGCCTGTGGACACGGCACCACAGAGCACTGGCTGACATGGAAGGGTATCTGAAAGAACCGACAGCAGAGCTCCTTCCTACACCCTGCAAAGACTTGAGGGCTGCCAAACCCTACAGTGAGATACTAGCACAAAAGCAGAAGCAGAGGCAAGGAGGGTGAGTTGGCTGGGGCATGAACTGGCTGGGGCACCAAAGCACCTCATCAAGTCAAAACACTCCCTGCTAAAGTGTTCATTAATCCAGCCATGGAGATACAACAGAACCTCCGGGCTGAAGATGCCAAGCTCAGCACGCACCTACAGACAGGGAAGTCGCCTACCCTGGGCTGAAGTCAGTGGAGGGACAGACAGTCTCCCTTCATCCACAGATGGAGACCAGATTCCCTGCCCGGAACGGAAGAGGGAGCAGCACAGGGTTAAGCAGAGGACAAGCTGATGGAGTCCAAAGGTTGGGCTGAGTCATGTTGTGGCCGTTCCTGTTTCGGTCTGAGCAAGTTTCTCGCTTCCCAGGCAGGGTTTTTTGCCAGGCCAGAATGAACCTGCCCCCTCCATCCCCTGGATACACTGCCTGGAGGAGCGTCCCTCCCACAGCCAGCATGTACCTCCGCTCTTCACCTCTCCTTTGGACTCCACATGCAGTTTTTAGGGCAATTCCACAGCTTTCAGGAGACAGGATGAGCCCAATGCCATATCCCACATCACCACGTCCCCCACTGCACACTCTCTGTCCTCCACCCTCTCCCAGGCATCTGCCCAGCCTCAGGCTCCTCCTCAAGAAACAAAACTGTCTTCCCACCCCTTGCCATGCAGACACCTTTCTTCTCCTCACCCACGGCTTTCCTGACCCAAAGGAAGCCATCCAGCTGCCCCAGGAGGCTGATGAAACACAGTCAATGATTCCTAAGTGCAAAGGCAACATGTGTTCCTGCAGATCCAGACATCAAATCCCTTCTCAAAACAGGGATCAGCCCTCCAAGCTGAGCACTCACTGAGTTGGTTGTACAAGCCTGAATATATGACAGTAAAATGGCAGAACCTTCCTCACAGGGCATCAGCATGGAGATGACAGAACGGTGTGGGTTGGAAGAGACCTTAAAGAGCAGGGCAGAGGGGCAGAATCCTCCCACCTCTACTGCCCACACTGTGGGACCAGCCCAGCAGACAGGGAGTTTCTGGGTGCCAGCTCACAAGGCTAGGGCATGTCCAGCTCCTCCTCCACCAACACCCCACCTCCATCTTACCCCTCCAGCTGCAGAGGATTTCTGCAGCTTCATTAGTGAAAGAAATAAATCTTTGATAGTAACAGCACAGCAAGTCATGCAGGGTACGACCCAAGGTCCAGCCAGCTCCAGTGCTGCCTGTGACAGCGGTCAACACAGATGGTTGTGATGGAATGTAACAGCCAAGCACGTTGAGATACTTCCCAAACCACTTCCCAAGCTCCTGTTGTCCTCATGCTTTTCCCAAGCAAAAAAGACATTGTTCTGTACAAACCCTGATGGGCTTCTCCTCCACAAACCCACCAATTGCCCCAGAGCACTGGCGGACTTTCACCATCCATAGTTTTTAGCAGCAACATTCCAGTCCATCATGTAGAACAGCATCTGCTGCTCTTCCTCGTTTCATTCACTCTGGTTCCACTGCCAGAACGGACAAGGGAACAACACATCATCTCCACACCACTCCTGAATTTTACAGGCTTCAGTCACCTGCCCCAGGGTCTTCCTCTCAAGTGGATACAGCCCCAAGCCATTTAGCAGCCCTTGTCCCAGAGCCATCCCATGGCTAACCATCTCCACCACCCTTCTCTCCATACATGCTCCCCCAACAAAACCCTAGCCTCAGAACCTCTCCCAACTCCACTGTGCCCTCCCCACCTATCCTGGTGCCTACACTGTGATCCCCACACTAAAGCAGAAATCCTCCTGGGAGCTGCCAGCTGCAGACATGGCAATGTGCACCCCAATGCTGCTCAGCCTCTCTACCAACCCCAGCAAGTGTTGGTGGCAATAGGGCCGAGCCATCCCAAACACACATGCTTGTGATGCTCACCCCATGTGCGGCAAACATGTGGCTCCACAGACACACACTGGAGACACCCGTGTGCAGCTGGCATAGAGGAGAGTGCAGACCTCCACATGCTCAAAGTTTTCCTCATTTACCCACAGAACTCCAAAGTCTTCCCCATCTACCCATCAGCCACTGTGATTACTGAGAAACAAGAAAAGAGTCCCAAAATGGCCATGTCCAGCCATGCAGCCACCCAGAGCCCAGCACCACCCGGACAGACAGCCACTCACCCTGTAGGCCATGTGCCACTGGTGGGGCTTTTTGTGCCCTTGGTGACCTGGAAGAGCAGCTTGGCCAGCTCCACATCGCTGCTGTGTGTCAGCAGAGGAGCAACACAACAAACATCACCCACAGCCCTGGCTGGCCCGGGCTGGATCGTCACCACCCGTGGGACAGAGCCCACGCACCATTGGCAGCTCCAGGAACGAGGCGGTGACTCCTGTCAGCCCTGCTCCTTGTGCTCACCCACGAGCCCATGCAGATCCCACGCTCACTGACACATTAAGGGATCCTTCTCTGCACATGATGCAACCAGAGAGAAATAAATTCCTCCAGGGGCTGCAGGGAGCCTTGGCACTCAAGGGGAAGCCAGTGGGACACAGAGCACAGTGGCCCACAGACACCATGTGTCCCATTGGGAGCTGGAGCTCAGCACCAGGACATCACCTTGACTGCAGAGTGACAGAGGCCAGAGAGGCCTGGACCCACTGGCACAGCCACAGCACCAAAGAAACCAAATCCCAGAGGGCACAGCAGGATGGTACCTGGAGCACAGTGGCTGCAGGTGATTTGCTGACAAACAGTTCCCAGCAGCCAGGCACAGCTTGGCAGTGCCATTCCATCGCCACATCCAGACACATCACATGGGCAAACCACCTTCACACCAGAACCAGGAGGCACCAGCTATCATCAGTGTTGGTCCCAGCAGTACAAGACACATGGTCCCGTTCCCTTGCCACCCACAGCAGGACATCCTGGCACAGGAGTAGCAACATCACCCACACCCTGACACCTTTCTTACCTTCTCCGATTTCACCTTCTTCAGCTGCCGGCACTCACTTTCCCCATCCTCCAGCTCCGACTTAACTCCCAAGGGATTGAGCGCAGCTCCCGTGTCAATAGCTATACTCCCAAGCTGCTCGGCAGCAGCAGGCTCTGTCCCCTGGCCCCCATCATACTGTCCCACCCTCACTGCCAGGGCCAGGGGCTGCAGCACGCTGGACTCCTTCTCCACCGCAGCCCCTGCACCCTCACTCCTTTCCTTCTTGTTTTTGGATGAGCCACCCTCCTTCTCTTTCTTGGAGCCGGCCACGCTGCGAGACGCCTTGGCCGACTTCTCCGAGCCCTTCGGGGTGACGGCAGGCACCAAACCACCTGAGTTCGCGCCATCCCCAGAGCGTCCTTGAGCCTCCTTCTTGCCACCAGCTCCCTCACTGGGAGTGAATAGGGAGGACCCCGGGGTCGGCTTCCCACTGTCCTTGCCAGTCTTGCTCCTTTTTGACTTGGATTTGCCCTCCTTGCCCTGAGGGCCCGGCACTGGGCTCACAAACTTGATGTTATCCGGTAGCGTCGCCACTGCATTGGGTGCCGGGAGCCCCACCTCCTTGGAGCCCGACATTTCCAATTTCTGCTGATCCTTCTCCAAATCAGCGTCCAGGTCAATGATGAGATTCCCTACACCAATGTCCCACTCATCCCCGCTGTCGTACGTCTCAACCGGGTTCGCATCAATTCCTTTCCCTCCGGAAGCTCCGCTGCTCAAGGACATCTTAGAGTTAACAACCCCTCACGATTCAAGGCTCTTCCCTGTCTCCACGCCCTGGGGGTCACCTACGTCCTTGGGGGGCTTCCAGTGGTCGGGGTCTGCCCAGGTGACGGCATTGCTGCTGGAAGGGAAAGCAAAGAAAACAAGGTTACACACGAAGAGCCACAGGCAGGCAGATCTGCCTTCATTGGCAGCTGCACCTGCAGCCACCGGGAGAGATCTGGGCAGGGTGAAACCCCCAACCTCCCAAATCTCCCCTTGCAGAATCCTCCTGCCATCCCCCAGGCTGGGGCTGCTCGGCAGCTGCCCCCACAGCAGCAGCCATCTGGCACCGATCCTCGATCAATACCGGCCCTGGCAGGTCACGGCTCTCAGCTCCAACAAGACATTACTCACACGTTTCCCCGCTCGCCATTTCCCTCTGAATTATCGAGCGCTGCCCCTGGGAGGGAGAATTGATTCCTCTCCTGCCGATGCCACCCGGAGGGAGGGTTCCTCTCCACACCAGCCTTGCTGTGAGGGACGAGAGCCGCTCGCCGGGGAAGCAGAGTGCCTCAGTGGGAAATAAATCCCAGGCTTCAGAGTGCTTGTGACACTTGGGACGCGTCAGAGCGGTCGCCAAAGGCCAAATCGCAGTGGGAAGCACAGGGTTCCCATCCCACACCTCCGGGCAGCACAACACAGCACCTGGATTTGGGATGTTTACCACCATCACCTCCACAATAAGCTTCCAATGGGAAACCAAGACGCAACTGTACAAGTACCCAGTGTTAACTGGGAAGTGGGGGCTCAGCCCTACCTGCCCACGCCACAGCTGACCCCCGTGAGCCCAAAATATCTCCTCCCAGCTTCCCAGCCCCTCGCCCCCGGAGGGAAACAAAAAAGACACCCACGCGCAACCTGACACAGCTACAGAGTCGCGGCAATTACCCTGACGAGACATAATTAACACATGTAACAGCTTCTTCCCAGCACCATCCAGCCGGGCCGCCTGTGCTCCAGAACCCTTAAGAAATCCTTGACCACCCATTTGGATGAGGCTCCTCTCCAGAAGCACTGTCCTCCCCTTCCCCACCAAGCTCCGAGCCTGCTGGCTCCTGGTACTATTTACGAGTAACACTTCAAAAACAGGTGACTTGAAGAGAAATGAGAAGGGAAGGGAAAAAAAAAAACCACACACACACACAAATTTCTTCAAACCCCAGCAGGCAGGAGCCTGGAAAGCAGCTTCACGGTGCGTTTCCAGAGATGCAAACACTGTAAAAATGCCAGGGATTCTTTCATCAGCCAGGCTGCCGCAGCCAGACCATTTTCCATCTGCTCCCCACAGCATCCTCGGCTCTGTACAGCTAATAATCCGCTCTCTGACAGGTCATTACGGAGATTTTTAACCCTAGGAGCTGGGGGCTTGCGTGCAAGCTGGAAATGAAAAGCACTGACCTCTCATTTCAGCAGCAGGGAAAGTGCCGAATCAGGATATCACTTTGTGCACCGGAGTCACTAACGGCTTCCCAAAGCTGCCCTGCGTGTTTCTACTATTACCTCCTCCTCCTCTTCCTGCCCCAAGACCTGCTCCCCAGTCCCAAGCCAGGGTGTCCAGCCCAACCCCATCAACCTGTCTCTTCGGAGCCTCTCTCCAAACCGCCGGTGGGGCCAGAAATTGGCAGTGACCACCTCACCTCTGCATGGCACAGCCATCTCTTTGTGCCATGGATCTACAACGATCCCTTTGTGCAGATGGGCAAAGATGGTAACAAGACGGATGAACCAGATTTTTGGCTCATAACAGCCCCTTCCCAGCCCTAAGCTGAGGCGTGGAATCCAGGAACAACCCCAATGGACAGGTGGACACAGCGCTGATGCGCAGGACCAACACACAGGAGCTGCTGGGAGAGGATGAGGCTCAGCCTCGAAATCCAAGAATTGCCAACCCAAGGTTGGAGTAGGCAAAGGGTCACGGCCAGCTCAGATCAGAAGGACAAAGGACAAGAATCTGACCTCGTAGTGGCAGAAAAGCAATGGACAATCCGCAGGGTCGTACTGCAACAGGCACAGCATCTACCGCTCCATGCAACAACTCCACGATGCCGGCTCGGCCGGCTCTCCGCTCCCACCAGGGAATTCACCTTGCTGTTCCAAACGTGCAGATACACACGCACACACATCTCCATAAATATTATTTATACATGTGGAATAAGGAGAGCAGATGAGCGGGACTTGGGTCTGAAACTCTGCAAGCAGCAGCAGTTTTTGCCAATTCCTACCACAACAAAAGGAAGAAGGAGCCCAGAAGTCCACTGAGTCCTCGGCAATTAGAGAGCTAGGAACAATCAAAGGGTTAGAAAACAAGAGGAGTAAAAACCCTCACCCTACAGAGGAGGCGCCGAGGGAGCCCAGGCTCTGCTAATGCAGAGGGAAGGGAATCACAAACAGGACGGACAGGAACATGCTGTATTGGCAAGAGCCGGGGGAAGGCTCGTCATGCCAAGAGCAGGGCAGGGAGCTCATGACGTGCCACAACGGGAAGAGGGACTGGAGCAGGGATGGGCCCTTTCCAGCCCTAGACTGAAGGCTGGGACCCCATTTACATGATGTGGGGGGACCCCCTGAACATCCTCAATTGCATGTGGCTCTAAAAAATTCCCCACAGCTCTAAAACCCCGTCCCTGAAACTTCCAATTCCCCATTTCTCTTCTCCACTCTTGCAGGCTCTACCTTGCAGCTAAAGGAGCATTTTGGGTCCCTCTCCCAAGGCAGACCCCCAGGGATTCCCAACCTACCCTGTCATCATTATTTTGGTAGATGGGGAACAAACCCTGGCTCCCAGAGCCCATGTCCCGGAGAAAGAGGTGCCTTTCCCACTGCCTGCTTTGCCCAAGCTGGAGAAGTGCCGGGTTCTATCCAGATCCTCCCTGCTCTCCTGCTGGGCGGTGTAACGCCACCATAAATCATGGCATCTCAGAAAACAGAGCGAGGAGATTGATTCAGCTGTAAATGTGTCCTTCCCCTTACCTCCTGCCATCGCAGGATTGATCCCCGCGCAACATGAAAAGCATGTGCTCACTTGTTGGCCTGGAGACCTGCCAACGAAGCGTTTTAAGAGCAGTCCTGGAGCGTAGATCCTACAAGGAGACAGCTTTCTGCTTGGGAATGCTGCACACACACAGCACCAGACATGAATAATTCAGCTCCATTAGGTGCTGAGACCTCTACAATCCACATCTACGGGCTGGGACAGAGCCAAACGGTATTCAGAGACAAACCTGAAAGTTCACTTTCGGGGCTGCACACACACCTAGAGACAGCTCCTCCACCAGAACATTCGCATTCCAAAAGGCAGCGAGGAAACCGCAGGAGCCCCCGGCTCTTTGTGCTAAAACCAGTGCAGGATGCTCAGAACCTGCCAAGCCCGCGCCACTCCAGCTTTCTCCGCCGGTTACCGGAGGCCAAGAGACCAAAAGCAGGGAAGCACTGACCGCCCAAGGGCAGCAAGATGCAGGAGAAAAGCTCTTCTCCTGGCAGCAGCCAGCCCACACGTAGGGAGACTGTCTCATAGCCATGTGCTTCAGCCTGCAGCGCTCCAGGATCAGCCTCTGGTGGCTTCCAGACATGACCGACTGCAATTTTCACCCTGATTAACTTTCAGGAATGCCCGCAAGAAGGAGCAGCAAAGAGGACAGGGAAGGGGGGGAGAAAATCTGTAGGACACGGCATTTCCTCCAGCGGGGCACGAGGCAGGGAGCAGAGGGTTCGGCGAGATGCTCTCTCCAGCCAGGAGCAACCCCGGAGAGCAGACAGAGCCCTCTGCTCCCTCCTGGGTGAGGCAAAGGCAGTGGTGTGGAAGGGCTGCTGCCCCCCCAACAGCTTACCAAGACCCCCAAAGGGCTCCCCACGAGCCCCCAGCCAAGGCAGCAGCACGAGGGGCCACAATGCGAGGCCCTTCCTCCCGCGGCTGGCAGCCAGCCGGCCGCTCTCCCCATCCGCTGCCTCCGCACAAGATCCCTTTTTGTTTCCTTTTACGACTAAAGAAACTCGGGGTGGTGGGGGGGGCAACGCGGTGCCTTCTCCGAGCTGCCGCACTCGCTCCCCGCTCGGCTCCCACCGCCGCGCCTGTAATCCCCCAGCTGGGCTTGTTTGGGTTGGATTTTTGTTAAGTAACTCCCATGTCTTTTCTGCAGATTTCTTTTTAAGATGTTCCCTCTCTCCCCGCCCCCTCTCTCTAGAGCTGGGGGAGAGAGAAGAGAAAAAAAAAAAGAGAGAGAGAAAAAAAGAGAAATGTTGAACGCGAGCCAGCTGGCACGAACAAGAGGAGACGGAGAAATCTGCACAAAGGAGCTTCCTCACTCACTTGCTGCTTTCAGCTCAAGAAATCACGCAGGGGAGGAGGGTTCGCTCTCCCCCAGACATCAGTCAGGCCGTAGCAGACAAAGGAGATTTGCCATGACACCCTCCAGAACTGCCACCCAACGTGGGCAGGATCCCTCCACCGCCTGCGCCCGGCGGGAGTCCGAGCTGTTGCAAAACACGCTGAAGCATAGGGCTTCAAAACAAGCTGTTCAATGTGGAATTAAGCAAGATTTTGAATGGAGGAGCTGCGCTCCCGCCTCCGCGCTCACACAAGGCGCCGGGAGAACTTCGGTGGCTCTCGGGGCTGAGTGGGACGGCGCCGGCAAGCTGCCAGGAGGGAGAAGGCTGAACCCAATTTGAATAAAATGGAGCCACCCTTCTTTTTTTAATATGGAGGTGCACCCCACTAAGACTACATGTTCCAGCATGCACTGCAGCCAGAGCACCGGGAGAGACACTGCCAAACTTAGGCCGGGACTCCAAGTTTCTGTAGGCTGAGCCTTGACACTGGAGATGAACCTGACACAGGGCAGCGCTCGAGCGATGAGTCATTTGTTGGCATTCTTGAGAAAAGCCTCAAATATTTCAGTCCAAGCATGACAAAAGCAGGACAGAAGAGGTCACTGGAAGAGGCTGGAGATGGAGGAAGGTGGAGAGGTGAGCAGAGCTTTGGTGTTGGAGCAGCCAGGCAATCACCCTACCTGGAGGAAAGCTCTGGAGATCTATCAGCCATAACACCCAACTGCTCCCAAATACACACTCAGGCATCCACTT